CAAAGACAAATAACCTACAATTGAAGGACACTTTTTTCCTTGGGTCTCAGGAGGATATGGAATAGTCTTCCTGCTAGTGTAGCGCAAGCTAAAACCCTGGGGTCCTTTAAATCAGACCTAGATACGATTATATGAAGTATATGAAGAAAGTGATGATGATAATGTTGGTGGCGATGAAGATGGCTTGCCTGTAAAGCCAGTATGTGAAGAAGGTGATGATGATAATGTTGGTGGCGATGAAGATGGCTTGCCCGTAAAGCCAGTATGTGAAGAAGGTGATGATGATGGTGAGGATGACAGTGGTGGTGGTGATGAAGATGGCCTGTCCGCAGGTGCTCCCAGCTGAGGAACCCCACCTACCGAAGCCGGCAGTCACTGAGCAGCCCCAGCCCCGGAACCAACGAGATGGACCTGCTGGTGTTGGGGGAGCGTGGTGGACGGGGCATCCGCAACAGCGGCTACGACGTAAGAGCAGCCCGCCAGCTATGTTTACACTGGGCCCTCACCCCATCCCTGGAAGTTCATGGACCAAAGAAAGGGGGAGATGGTCAAGGGGGGGGGGGGGGCAGGGCGGGAGAGAGAGAATTTGCCTGGCTTTTGTTATCTTTTCCCTTCTTCTCTAAAGCAATCCATGCTCAGTTAATTCCCATCCAATAACCCTACAGATCCCACAACCAATCAGCGAAGTGTTTTACCCAGGATGCCCTCATGCTCCCGGGGGGGGTGAGGTGTCCGGGTGTGGGGGTGCGCAGGGCTGAAAGGGCCACGCCTGTGTGACGCCACCTTCAGCTGGAGCGAGTCTCATGCAGGCTGCTCAGCGATTCAGACAGGAGTCGGGCACCTGTGAATGACTGGCAACATGCAGCGATTCAGACGTAAAGGCAAAAGAAATGAAAAGAGCAAAATCTCTCTCTTCCTCTCGCTCTGTATATGTGTCCATGGTGTGTGTGTGTGTGCTGGGGGTGCCTACGCATCCATGTGTGTGTGTGTGTGTGTGTGTTTGTCTGTGTATGCTGTCCGTGTGTGTGACTGTGCGTCTGTGTGTGTTTGTATGTGTGTCTGTGTACTGACCGTATATGTGTTTGTATGTGTGTGTGTGTGTGCTGTCCATGCCCGTGTTCGTGCATGTGTCTGTGTGGGTCCGTGCGGATGTCCATGCGTGTATGTGTGTCTGTGTGTGTGTGTGTCCATATGCGATGACTGTCTGAGCTGACCGTGTTTGTGGCTCTGTGTGTCTGTCTGCGCTGACCGTGTGCACCCGTGTGCGCATGTTCGTGTGCGATACCTGCACGCACACGTGCCTGGTTGCACATGTATCTTAGACGGAGCCGGAGCTGCTGGAGGAGACCGACATCGACCGCCTGATGGGGCTGATGGGATACGCGGGGGGGCCGCCGCTCGCCGGCCACTCTGAGGCGTCCACCTTGAGCTCCCAGCCCTCCATCGATGAGGTGCGACAGCAGATGCACCTGCTTCTGGATGAGGCCTTCACCTTGGCCTCGTCCGGCCATTCCACGGGTGGCGGCCGTCCCCATGGCCCCCAGGGGCCCCATGTGACCCACTCACGGCCCGGCCCGGGCTCCGAGGTGGTGACCAGCGCCCCGGGCTCCATTGCCCGGCCCTGTGGAGAGCTGCACTGGGCCCCGGCCTACGCGCTCGACCTGTTCCCCTGCAGCCTCCCCAAGCCTGTGAGCGCCTCGGCCTTTCGGGTCTCTGGGTTCTGCCTCTGTCATCTGTCTATCTGACAGGACAATTAGCTGAGTGACTGACCTGCTGGGTGTCTGAGTGAAGCACGTGCTGAGTGACAGAGAGAATTACCTGCTGAATGACTGCATGAATGGTTGAGTGACTGCATGAATGGCTGAGTGACTCTGTGACTGCATGAATGGCTGAGTGACT